CTGAGGGCCGTTTGTCTGTGCAAAGCCTTCAGCATCTTCTGTTAACATATGACAAAGAGGAAACGTGCTTCAGATTTGCACAGAAATCCCCAAACTGCTTGTAAAGGTCCTTCACGTTTAACTTCTCACAATGTGCTTAAACTTAGGTTAGTATCTTTTTAACATCACCACTTTCAACCATTGGTAAAGCAACATTTCACACGTATAATTTGGAGTTTAGCACCATTTTTAGCAACAGACAATCAGTCAAAAACTAAACAATGCTTGGCTCCTTAAAGGGGTCATAGGATGCCCATTTTCCACAAGTTTATATGTTCCTTTAAATGTTAATGAGCTCTGCTGACCCCGCCCCTCTCTTCCGAGCTGCTCTCAGAGAGACTGTTTGCTTTAGCCGCATTCATCGTGAAACTTGCTAATTAGCACTTTATTAGGAAAGGCGATTTGCAAAGATTCATTACAAAACATTATACTCACTTCTTCTGTAGATGAGGCTGGATCATGAATGATTAGCGCAAACATAGATTCATTTATGTAGATCGGGGGCGCATTCCCTTCATAAACAATGTAATCCACTGCGAGTTCAGCGGCTCAGATGTCGGGAGTAAATGACGACTGCTATATTCATTATTACATCCAACAACAGAACACCTCAGTCGCTTAGGAGTCATTCTTGTCTACATCTGCTCCGGCGGTGAAACAATGGCGGACTGATGACAGCTCACTCAGGGCGGGTCTGAGGTAAGACACCAGTCCAGTCTGTGCTGAAACGCTACTGTCAATCAAACTATCGTGGGAGGGGCCTGTCTGTGTGACGTCACACAGACAGGCATCTGAGATCAGCTCGATTTGAGAAAGGGGAAAACATTTAACCAGATAAAAAAAAAAAACACTGGGTGGATTTTTATCATTATAGGGTGGTTGTGTACACACACTGCCAACACACATTTCAGTTCAAACAACTTGTAAAAGTGCATGTAGCATCCTATGACCCCTTTAAATATCCATGCACTTTCGCATAGACTTTAACATGCAATCTTAGGTAAATGGTAAAAAAGCACCTTAGTGTTTTTTTCTTGATGATAGATAGATGAGCAGGTTTTGACTATTTGTTTTGTTAGTTAAAAAAAAATAGATGAACGCATTTGGTAAACTAACCTTAAGGGAATCTGCATTACGACTGCAGTTTGGTTAATGATTTAGCTTAATCTAAAGAAAACGTTCTTATGTTTTGAGAGCTTTTTGAGCAGCGCTAATCTTGAAATGCGAATCCCATGTGGAGGGTATCAGGGGAAGGATGTGGTTAAATGTACCAACACATGACGTGCAGCAGTAACACGCATCTCCCCTGTGGACAGTGTTGTTGTTGCTGTGCTTCAGATGAGATCGACTTTAAGAGATGTGCTCTGATTGGTTCCCTGTGCAGACAGATGGTTCAGCATTCATAGGTTGGTGCTCTGTTTTGCAATCGCCTGCAATGGTGAGGAAAACATAAACCCCAAGCTAGGGGTGTGCGATATTGACAAAAAATTATATAATGTCAAATTGCACATCGTTAAAACAACAATTACGATATTATCGCAGACGATATATATCGCACACCCCTACCCCAAGCTGGTTGTTGTGTAATTGCATAACTTGATGGGTGTAGTGTGGACTACCCTATCATTCAGGCAATATGATACTTGTCAAACACACTGTGAAGTCAATCCTTCGTATAATACACCTCTACTTTATAGCATTTATAAAGCTGCTCTTAATACCCCTGCCAGCATAGTGGTGAGAAATTAATTATAAATACACTTGTACTTTAATTTAATGGTGCAAAGTATAAAAATGTCTCAATCTAATTCAGTTTGGCAGTTTTTCCCATTATCTGTGTGTGCTTTTCAGTTTTTGTGAGTACTGTGTTCCATTCAGTCACAATTTCCATCTTCCTCCTAAAATCTAAAACTTTAACTACATAAAGACGCAATGTATGATGTCAGGAAAAAATGGTGACTCCAAGGTAAATGTGCATGGACCATAACAAGCATTTACTTTTATGCAAATAATTTGCATCATTGAGTCCAAGTTCCAAAATGACCTATTTAGTAACTGTTAGCAGAGACAAAACAGTAAATGATCCTCTCTGTCGATAATCATAAGATCATTTATCCACAATAGCTTGTCAGGAGAAAGTCAAACATTCACAAAGTTAACAGTAGCATTGGCTTTTTTCATACATCAACTTAAGAGTGCAGTGCAACACTGCTGGATATATAGCAAGTAGGAATATCCTATATCCAACTATGGCATTAGCATACCGTTAGCATAACATTCCAGCATCAAACTCAATAGCAGCTCTCTAGGTTTTAAAAGAGAACTGTAGTCTCTCTATAAGTGATTGTGTTTGATGGATGTTGATGTGTGATTATAGTCTTTTAGTGGCATGTGGGTTGTTGTGAGCCATTCTAAGATTTCAGCAACAGAGTTTGGCTTCATTCCCAGAACAACTTCTGTTTTTTTCCTACTAAATTTCCCCTAGAGTATCCCCAGCAAGCAAATAATACTGGAACAGGATGAAGTAACTGGAAGTTTGATTTTCCTCTTTGAGCTACAGTCATGAATGATTCCTTAAATCATGCAGTTAATCGATGAGAAGTGTGCCATTACTTTTCTAAGCGATCTAAAGATTTGCCCAAGTTTTGCACAGGCAGGCATTCCTGTAGCTCAAACAGTAGAGCATGGTGCTAGCAATGGCAAGGTCATGAGTTTGATTCCCAGGGAACTGAACTGATAAATGTATACTTTAAATGCAGTAATAAGTTGCCTTTGGATAAAAACGTTGACCAAATGTGTAAATGTAAATTCATTATTCGGGAAATGAATCCTGTCGATTTAAAGGTGACATATCATGAAAATCTGACTTTTCCAGGTTTTAAGTGCTATAATCAGGTCCACGGTGCATCTACCAATCAAGGAAACGTGAAAAAGATGAACCCAGTAGCTTTGTTTTGGTAAGCCTTTTTCTCTAAGCGTCTGAGAAAACGAGCGTGTCTGATTTCGCTCCCTTGGTGACGTGGCAAAGGGATCTCATTATAATATTGCCGCCCCTTAATCTGTAAGTTTCCACCCACGGTGCCGTTATTGTGTTTTCGCAAGCGGAAATGGTGTACTAGTTCTAATGCCATGGCGAAAGTTTGAGCAAAACACGCTAACTGTTCTGCCTTTGGCTGCATAGATGAGCACAGAACACTATTTACAGTCCCAGCCTCAGAGTAGACGAGAGCAGTGGATTTATTGATTTATTTAATGTATATTGCTGCTGCCACACACATCTAAAATAAACATGCAATTTATTTCCCAGCTGTTTACCTTCACAGACATAACCGACTGTTTTTTGTAACTCGTGTGTTCTTAACGTAAACTTGTGTGTGAATGAGAACTTAGTTTAGTACTCACATGCTGTGACAGCCGCTTTCTGTCCATGTGCTTCAGATGTGTGCACTCAGAAAACCGCATGTCAGAAGTTTAAACTAATATGATTTAAACCGCATGATTTCAGCTCGATAAAAATGATAATCAGAACTAGGGCTGCACGATAAATCGCATGCGATATTTAACGCGCATCTTATCGGTAAAGCCGGACTAGCATCTTATCAGTAAAGCCGGTTCTGTAATCAGTGGTAAATCTCCATCACCTGCGGGCTTTCACATTGAGTAGCATTAACTACACAGAGCCGTTGTTCACTGATGAGCTGTGCAAAACCATGTTCATATTCGCGTGATTTTTTGTGCAGCTCGTCAGTGAACAACGGCTCTGTGTAGTTAATGCTGCTCAATGTGAAAGCCCGCAGGTGATGGAGATTTACCGCTGATTACAGAACCGGCTTTCTGACAAAATGCGCATTAAATATCGCATGCGATTTATCGTGCAGCCCTAATCAGAACCAAAACAGATATTTTTAGCAGGTCCGAGCTGTAAAGGCGCAGCTCTATTCTGGAAAATGGGGCGGGGAGCAGCAGCTCATTTGCATTTAAAGACACAGGCCCGAAAAACTGCGTGTTTCTGCTTCCACTCAAAATAAGCATTTTCAAAATGATATAATAAATGATCTGTGGAGTATTTTGAGCTGAACCGTCAGACACATTCTGGGGACACCAGAGACGTATATTACATATTGTAAAAAGGGGCATAATATGTCTCCTTTAATGTCTTGAACAACTTTGCATGCATTCAAATTTAACTAATTTACTTTTCTTATTGTCAACTTTGGAGTATGTTTTTGAGCTCATGAGAAGCGTGTAAGGACTTTTCCCAGCCCCTCTGAAATGCTCAGATAACGATGATGTCTCTGACTTCATCTCTGAGTCATGAGTTAATTAGGTTGTTCTGTAGCCAAAGTGCAGTTACCCTGCAGTGTGTGATATTCCCCAGTGTTGAACTGTAAAAATATCTATTTTCAAATTAATTTTCCTAATACTTTAGATTTCCAGCTGATTAAGAGAAGGGGGCCTGACATATAGGGGCCTTGTCATAATGAAAAGTTGGATATGTAAGTGCACAATTCCTGTTAACACATTTCTTGAATTGAGTAACTTCTGTAAAATAAAAGCAATCAAATTGTGCTTGTCAACCATCAGCCACTCTAATTTCTGGATGACGATAGTAGAATTAGCCATTAAAAATCCTGCAGAAATTGACCAATTATCAGAGCGTAAATGTATGCAAAATGTGAACCCTTAATGCCAGGGCTCTTTGAATCCAACTCTCGAGGACCAGTGTCCTGCTGAGTTTAGTTCTTACCCTAACCAAACACACCTGAACAAGCTAATCTAAGATAATTTTGAGAACAACATGCAATTTACAGACAGGTGGGTTAAACTGGGAATGGTACTAAAGTACCAAACAAGTCTGCAGGACACTAGTCCTCCAGGACTGAAGTTAAAGAGTCCCATTTTAAACAATTGATTGTAACTTTTTTCTTCTTTTTTTTTTGTATTTATGTATATACTCTCAGTTGGTGGAGACCTCCCTGAAAGGTGAGATCACATTTGACCCCCACTGCGCCTACTACCTGTGGTTCGTCATGGACTTCTGCGATGGTGGAGACATGAACGCCTATCTCCTGTCCCGCAAACCCAGCCGCAAGACCAACACCAGCTTCATGCTGCAACTGGGCAGCGCTCTTGCCTTCCTGCATCGCAACCAGATCATCCACCGAGACCTCAAGCCCGACAACATTCTCATCTCGCAGGGCAGAACCCCGACCGGGTCCCCCGAACCCACCCTGAAGGTGGCTGACTTTGGCCTCAGCAAGGTCTGCTCCTGTTCGGGCTTGAACCCTGAAGAACCGGCAAGCGTCAACAAGTGTTTCTTGTCCACAGCTTGTGGGACGGACTTCTACATGGCCCCCGAGGTCTGGGAGGGCCACTACACCGCAAAGGCTGATATCTTTGCTTTGGGGGTCATCATATGGGCCATGGTGGAACGGATTACGTTTGTGGATGTAGAGACTCAGAAGGAGCTCTTAGGGAGCTACGTACAACAGGGGGAGGATATAGTCCCGTTGGGGGAGGCTCTGCTGGAGAACCCCAAGATGGAGCTCCACATCCCGGCTCGGAAGAAGAGCATGAACGCTGGCATGAAACAACTGATTCGGGAGATGCTGTCCGCCAATCCACAGGAGCGACCCGATGCCGTTGAGCTGGAGCTCAGGCTGGTTCGGATCGCATGCAGGGAACTCGATTGGGATACGTGAAAGGACACCATCTTGGAGATGGGGTAAACTTCTAGGACAATGGGTTTGGAGCTTGAAGTAAGAACATATTGTCTGGCCTTGTCCCAAATGGCACACAGGGGTCTTGTGGTCTTCATTCGGGAGTGTCTGTGAAATCCATAAAACCATAGGAGAGGGATCTCGAACCCTGCTACTGAGGAGAGTTACCATCCTGCAGACTTCAGCTCCAACCCAGCTCCCACACATCTATCTGTAAATTTTTAAGTAACCCTGAACCCTTTGAGTAGCTGGTTCTGGTGCGTTTGATTGGGATTGGAGCTTTGCAGGACGGTAGCTCTGGGGTTGGAGACACCTGCCATAGGGTTTCCCATTTGGGAATTCAGTTTAGGCTCCATTTGCTGAGCCCACAATTACCTGTGCTGCAAAGTATAGACTTTGTCAGGGAATACCGCATAGGCTGATGGTGCCGTTTGGGACAGGGCCTTTGGAGTGGGTTTTTAGTGGGTGATTGCACTGGTCCTTGTTTTTTTTTTCTTGCTATTCTTACAGTTTAGTACAACTGATTCATTGATGATAAACAGCCTTTAAGATGTTAAATGCTTATTACTGTCTCACCTGTTCACAAGCACATTGGGATTTTCATCAGCAAGAGTCCAGATGGGCTTCAGGGGGGTTTCATTGATGGAAAAAACATCAGATATACACCTTCCATTGACCACAAACCACATCGAGCTAGATAAACACAGGTCCACAGAATTCCCAGAACATTCCAGCACTAAGACATCAGGTAGCATGTAGATTAGGGCTGGGCTAAAAAAATGTTTGTAAAATATTTTGGCTTCATGAAAAATTCAATATTTTCACTTGGATGGTGTCTGATTTACTTTCTTTGCTCATGAATTGGAAGAAGGCATGCAAAAGTGATCTACTGGCATGGTTGTAATTGCTAGAAAAACGGCGTTAGTCCATATTCATCATGTTTTATGTCACTAACAACATAATAATGAATATATTGTATATATTCAAGTTAACACCCAGCCCTGATGTAGTTTTAATACAGCACAGCAAAAAGACTCATGGCTTCCATCTCTCTCGGGAACTCTTTAGTTATCTATGAGAGCTACTCTCACCACACTCCCGGTGCTAATTCAACTTGTAATGCAAAGTGGAAAACACGCAGAATTTTTTATTTTTTTTTCAGTCAATTTATGGGCTTTTTACAACAAGATTAATATCTGTTTTTCTGTGCTTCACACAGAAAAGGGCTTCAGGGAGTTGTATTTCTATCACTCAATTTCCTTCTTTTTTTTTTTTTTTTTTTT